AAGTTGGACCTCAGGTAAGTTGAAGTAGACGACCTCCTAACCATCATTTTTATGTTTTCAGGAATTTCAAGAAAACAGCATTTTGATAATCGAGTTTTTTCGCAATATGTCAAACGATAATGCGGATTAGAAAAAGCTGCAGATATAAATCAACAAGATTTCTAAATAAAATAAAATCGAAATGTATTTGGTAGTTATTAAAGTATATGCCACTGCCTTTCCTAATTCCCCACCCATGAAGCCTTTAGAACCACCGTTTCCGTAGGACAAAATGCTGGGACTAGGGGTATATGAGGTGCACTACTTAAGCTTCTGTTGCTCTAATCTTTAATTTCGTTTCTGTTAATGTTAGCAGAGACACTTTTATTATGATGATATCAAGGCTCTTAAGGACTATGCTTGTGACGTTGTGCCTTTGAACTCAGTCTAGAGCCCTTGCAGGCTGTCGCATAGCAACTTGGGACATATGACGGAGTTGAACTGACAAAAATAAGGGAAACCGGAATGGCAATTTCTGGCTAATTGCTTTATTCATCTGTATTTCATACTGGGGTCAGGAATTACCATTTTATGCATGGAATGAGGTCCCCTTACCTCTCATATACTGCCGAAGTTCATATTTTGAAAAAGAACACTCGACGCTATTTCCGCTTTGGCCAGTTAGCCTGACTTTCTGTCACGAATTCCTGTACAGCCAAGCATCCAGGTACAGGTCTACAGAGTTTTGGCTCAAAGAACCATGAATAACGTGATTTCTGTGCTGCAGATAATAAGGAGCCAGCAAAAGCATATATCTAAATTTTCCCGAAGATGTTTCATTAAAAAATTCTGATATCACTTTAAACGCTCCTTGGATAGTAGTGAAAATAGAAAAAGAAGACAGAAGTATAGAATAGCTTACCCACATAACCTAGAGCACAAAGAAGGACGCAACATGTACTGACACTGACTAAAATATATTCACTTCGTAATTTTTTTAGTCAAGATGGTGTTTTAATTCATTTTCAATAAGAGTCATTGAGTATTTATGGACGTGTAAACTCGTTTCGCTTTGCCAGAAGCAGGGGCTATGTTCATGACAAAAGCACTCGGACAGTGATGATGACGAAAGCCTCGAAGGCAGTCAATTGGCTATTACGGAGTGGATTAGGTATTTTCGGCTTCTAAACGGGCACGAGCAAAGGCATCATATCTTTTTGTGCTTAAAAGAGAAATAGTTGGGTTAAGATGGTCGATTCTTACGAACTGACAGCCTGAGGATGGAAGAGAAGTAAGACACGCGGAGATTTAAGGCCTTATTCCCATCAAAAAGGCACCTTGATCCTGAAACCCCAACAGTGTTTTTCTTACCCGAAGTCGTCCATCTTTTTTATCTAACTGTAAGCGAAAATCCCACCCGTAATATAGGTACGGCAATTTTCCTTTAGTAGTTAAAATACAACTTATTTATGCTAGCAACCTGTCCAGTAAGTGTCTCCCCAATTACCTTGGGTAATTTTATGCATTCATTCCTTTTATCCATTAGAGTTATCGAGGAATGTGCGCCCGAATTGCAAGCAAAGTGACTTACAGGCTTCGACTGCATAGATGTTAAAAAATTCAAACGCAAACGCTTACAGGTACGCCAAACCCAAACCCATCGTAAAATTGAAGTCCAGTTTTCGAGACAAACGTTTTCGGCGGTGTGCACCGCATCGGTGAATTCCATACGTGCAGTAGGCTGGACGGGTGAATCTACCCAAGTGTGATTACGTTCAGGGCCATCAGCGTGCCTTAGTAGTCCAGTTGGTAGAGCGTTGGCTGTACTAAAGTCTTCCCTACTGAAGTGGGTTCGAATCCCACCAAAGCCACAAACTTTTCACAGTTGAGTCAATTGAATTATTCAAATCTGCCAACCCTCCCCCCGCCTAATAAAGTTTCTGAGACAAAACGTTTCATATCCTGGTGTACGAGGAGTCTTCTTAACACATGCCTGTGCATTCTAACAGGTAGGAATACTGGAGCTAACTCTGGTAGTCTGGTAAGTATGGGATGTGTGATAGCACCCATTTTGACTGCATATTTATATAGCCGTTTCTCCATCTCAATTCTGATCGTAAGATATTCTGCGCTGATAATTAGCTTTGGCTGACACATTTTTTCACCTTGATGAAGATAGAAGGCTCCTGTCTTATAAAGACAATTCCCTAAATACTAAAAAACAGTGCGAGTATAATCGACAGTAGAGCTTTTGTAAAGTCCTTCATATGTAATTGAAATCTACAAGCAAATCCGTTGTGAAATGCTAGGTTGGGTTCTGGAAATAATTTAATTGGTCATCAGGGGTATTGTACTGCCTGGGTTTCAAGTACCCTGTGCGAGTTTGTGGACTTTTCATATAATCATTTGTCCTGAATTAATTTAATGAAAATGGGACCAAAGTGCGATAAAAAGTAGAAGGGATTCTCGGTAGAATGTTATTTTAGGTCCTAAAAATTGTCAACATAATCCAATGTTTGGCAACAAAAACCGCACCATGAATAAAAGGAGAAATACAATCAATTTACTTATGGTTTATTCTATTTTTCTGTTAATTTTTAGTTTGTTTTATGTTGCTTTTTGTTTTAATTAGCTTTATTTATTTTAATATTTATTTTTATTTTAGTTAATTAATTTTATTTTAGTTTACCCTTGTTTAGTTAGTTTAGTCTAGTAAAGGTAGGTTTTATTTTATTTTTTAGTTTAATTTGCAATTTATTAACCACATATAATTGCTTTTCGGGTTAAAAATCTGTAGTAAGTCGTTTTACCTTAGTTTAGTTAGTTTGGTTTTCTTAAGTTATTCATATTTTATTTCAGTTTTTAGCTGAACAAGAACAATAGCACGAACGGGAACACAAACCTGCTTGCTGGTTTCGGATTGTCGAAGCCTGCTCTGTGTTCATCATCATCTGTTGTGAAGAACCGGCGACCACTAGGCAGGCGTTTTCACGGCATTTGGTAGAAATTCCAGTGTGGTTTTCTCCCTCGGCTTCTTGTTTTTGTCTCGAAACAAGAAATTGCACGTCCAGCGTCAGAAGCTGATTATTAGGCGGTAGTGTTGCCTGAGGCGACGCTAGACATGCAGTGGGCACTTCGTCGTAGAAGCTGTTGGCGTTATTTGCAGGCAATAGGTCGTCTGGGTTGTGGACGTTGCCGCCTTCACTGCCAATGACACTTTTTAGATGGTTGAGGAAGACCTTGGAAAAACCCAGAGGTGCAAACGCTGGCCAGCTCTGACCGTCCTGACTCTTTGTCGAGGACGAATCCACCAAGTCAGAGACGGACCAGAGGCTACATTGAGGAAAGGCAGATAAGTGGTATGCATTAGTTTCATACCTGAAATGTTTCCTGCAAGACTGGACAGAGGGTTTATAATGGGGGAGACTGGGAATGGCTTTGTTTTCTACGCTCCATGAAATCCTTTTTAGTTTTATCGGAAAACTAGAAAGGTACAATTCAAGCTTTTAATTTGTAATTATTTGAATTTATCAAGCAACTTCTCCTCTTTGCAATTCGAAGTTCAGTTCTACCTGACGAATTCGACTCGATTTATCGGTCTGTATTCATCAGAGGTTCTCGTAATTGGCATTGGTCCCCAGAATGCCTGATCAGAGTACGGATCTCTACAGCTATCATTATACTTGCATAAGCATCGTAAGGAAATTTGAAATAAGAGTCAAATTTAAACGCCAGGCAGTGTAAGTAAGCAGAAAATCACTTTTCAATTTAACACCAACAAGCTTCCAAGAGACAAAGTTCTTCTTACATGCAAATTTATGTTTATTTAAAAGGTATTCGAATCTTTTACAAACACAGAGAAAACGGGTGTTTATATTTAAAAATCTATGTAATCTATCATCATGACAGAGTTATTGGAATGGATTCCATTCTGTTTAGATCCAAGTCCACAATACTGGCTACTTTCAAAGGCGATCTTGCGTGCCCACCAATCTCAAATTGTCGTTCCTTAGCCTATAACTGAACTTAGAAAATGGCCAGTGCTCACTGATATCGATGACTGAGTCACTTTTATTTTATTTCTTCATTTAAAATACTTGACTGTGGAGTTATGTTCAAATGTGTCTTCTCTTTCTATATGAACTTTTACGATATAGTTAACATCTAGATATGGTTTGATTTCCCAAAAGTTTATAGTCTGGCAAAAAATGCCCCTGTATTGTATCTCACTTGCTTAGATTCTTTTAAAGTCCAATATAGCTCTGCGTAGCAGCGTCTTTGATATAACATGTTATCCTTTTTAATGCTGACTTCAATTGTTCGTCGTATAGTCGGTGGACTCATAGTCTGGCACACTTTAAATTACAGGTTTGACTTAGGAATGAGAAGAAGAACCAAGCATATAATAAGGGCTTAAATAACAAAAAATTGTCTCTAGCTGATAATTTTATTATAATGTATGCACTGTCTTCTCAATGCCCCAAGACTAACGGGAAAAATGTATTGATTTCGCTCGATAACATATGCTGTTAAGAGTACTAGAATATAAGTGAAGCCTTTTGCGGACACATAGATATAGTTATATTTACCTCCTCTAAATTCAGCACATGTCAAACAAGCAGAGTTTCAAAGTTAAGCTGCAAGTTTAAGGCAAAACTCGCTGGCTCTTCTTGAAATACCTCTCGCATAATACACTGATTTAGTAATTATCTCTCTGTTCACCCTTCTACTAAAATTGCGCACAGGTTCAACGAAACCATTAAGATGTCCCTAAATAGGCTGATAGAATCTGCACACGTACCTCAATTGCTCTTCCATGATGTCGACTGTCTTTGGATTCATAATCACTTAGAAGTCAAGGACATATATATATATATGTGGATGTTTTGAACGCTGTGTGTGTGCCTAGTAAGCCACAAGCGGGGGAGGTGTCTCATGCTCCTCCTCCTCCTACCATCTTCGAATTGCGCGAGATTGCGAATTTGTACCCCTACCCCCCATCCCCTGGCGTACAAGACTTGCGTGCGACCGACTCGCTTGCGGTGTACTCGCGTGCGCACGCCTGAAATGTTTGCTTACCGCCGATAGCCAATGAAGGCTTAAGGTATCGGAGGGGGAGGGGA